GGTGCTGGGTGGAGGCATAATCAGCCTCAGCCTCAACTGTACACTGAAACCCTCAGTCGCATCCTCATTATTCCGGGACCCCCACAGACCCTCACGTTACATAGAGGAATAACTGCTACACAAACTAAACACACTCAGTGAGGAGACATTTTGGAGAAACAATCCAAACCCTTAAAATACTATAATACTCAAAGCTGACTAGTTAGCATGCTAGCTAACTGCTGTGTTGCTAACAGCGTTGTGTTTGTTCCAGACTTGTTTCTCTTACTGAGCTGCTTCTGCATTCTTACAGCTACAGACTCTGTTCAGGTATCAACATCTTCAGCTCTTCTAACGTGACTCTTCTTGTTCCTTCCACTTCTGACTTCATCATTTGATGAGACGACGCAGCATCAGACCACGTGATGTCTGCAGGACGCTCAGCTGGTGAAGCTTTAAAGTGGTGAACCGAGGGTCCAGGGTTTGATTCTCAGTGGGGTCATAGTGTATCTGCTCAGGTTCACCTTCTAGTCCACAATGATCTCCTGCTTCACTGAGTGGAGGACAGGAGCTAAAGGCCGCGTTTACTGTGAGTCACTTCTTTAGCTGGATTGTTGATATAATGTGTGAAGGAACAGAAGAATGAGTGTGATTTACCTGAAGAAGGAATCAGACGTAAGGTGGAGTTACTACGTCCCATCTCGTTCTGGGCTTCACAGTAATAATTCCCACTGTGTTCAGCTGTGAAGTCAGTGATGGTGAAGATCTGTCCTGATGCTCGTGGTGAGTCTTCATGCTCCTTGTACCAGGTGTAGCTAGCTGCTGGGTTAGCATCAGTGCTACAGGTCAGAGTCACTGAATCGCCCTCCAGCATCTCAGCAGAGGGACTCGCTGACACAGAGGGACGCTGTGGACCATCTGGAGGAGACGTGAATAAACATACAAAGAGGTCAGAAGATGTTAGCGTAGATAGTTGATCATTTGAATGAATACTTGTGTGTCTTTCTCTCAGACTATCTCTAGTATTCATCACAGCAGCTGTCACAGGTGAGACTCCTGCTGGTGTAAAGTGACAATAAGCAGCCTTTAATCCTTTGTAATGTTCATATCTCCACACATTCTTCTCTTTAGATGCTGCTTGTGTCCTTAGCTGAGTCTGTCCTCTCACTTCTAGTTGTTGTAGGAGTTATTGATTGTTTCCTCCACCAGCTGACACGTCACTTCTACTTATGTTCTGGAATAATTCACTTGAGTCTTTATGAAAATCACATTATTCTGTCTGCTGATGGTTTATATTTGTGTTTCTATTAATAAGAGAATGACATAAATAAAGATCTGTGTCTCCTTTAACATTTAGACTTCAGTGTGTTTACAGCTGTGATTAGAATCATATTGTTGTGTCAGTGTGTGAGTGACTCTTCTACACGTAGACTGCAGGGGCCGGGGATTGAACCAGCAACCCTCTGGTCAGTGGACCACGGCTCCACCTCCTGAGGAACGTTGTGCTTCATCTTTTTGATGCCTCTAGTTTACATGCAGCGGTCTGGTGCCTCCATGTGAGATGTTGGTGAAGCTCCACAGGTCGACACAGTGGAGTGAACTTACACACTGCAGGAGAACGTTGACTATAAGATCCTCTTAAATAACAGTAATATCTGTCTGTAGAACCAGAGGAGACTGAAAGAGAAGATCCTCTCTTGATGTTCTCTCCATTCTTGGACCAGACGCATTCAGCACGATGAGGCAGAACACAGCTGCTGTGACACGTCAGCTCCAACCAGGTAGAATCTGATCTTCTCACCTGCACCTGGAGACCTGAATCAGTGAATATTATTTATTAAAGTGTCAACATTCACAGAAGACATTTATACTCTAGTTTTCTAGATGTTGAACATTTGTAGATGATTAATATGTGAATTAAAATGTTACCTTTGACAGACAAAGTGACTCCAGGTGAACCAGTATATTTCTCTCCTGGTTTGTTTTTCATGAATGTGAGTTTGTACTCAGCTGAGTCGCTCTCTCTCACGTATGTGATGGTCAGATAACAACTATTACCATAACATCCATACGTCACACGGCCTGAATACTCAGAGTCTGTTCTCAGATCCACAGGTTCACCATCTTTCTCTTTAGTGAACCAGAATCTGTCCTTTATATCATAGTAATATATTCCAGGTGGGTATTCGTAGTCACATCTTATAACCACTGTTGATCCTTTTACAGCACAGATGTCAGTCTGACGGTAATCCACTCTCCATCCATCCTGACTCTGTATCACTGTAACACAGCACATCAGGAACCACAGTCACACTCAGAACAACATCACAGGACACACTCTCATTGGTAGTTTACTGAAGAGAAAAGATATTATGAGAAATATGAAAATCATTGAGTTTATAGAAAGTAATGAAAGAGTCCACGATGTCCACATGGACTCTGCAGCTGGAAGGAACAGCGACGTATTGAACCTGTGGACCTGAAAAAGCTCAAGTTGAAGTATTAGAAGGGTTTGGTTGATGAGAAGAAGAGTGTCTTTGCTCTGTGCTCTTCTGTCTGTGGTCAGTCTGCTGCAGAGTGGAGATGGAAACTGTAGAGAAATGCAGAACTCTGAGGGGAACGATACTGTGACATATAGATCACACCTCACTGAGGACACGGCGCTCAGCACTTGGACTGGTGATGGCTTTAAGAAACTCACGCTTTAGTTAACGTGTCAAAAACGTCGTAGCCTTTAAGACCCGGCCCAGTTGACTGATGTTGGGTGTGCGGGAAGAATCAAACGTCGGAGTGCACACATCGTTATTTAAGTTAAGTTGCTTGTTCAAGCAACTGCACTTTATTATTAGCTTGTATCTGTAATTGTTGGTCAGTTTGGTAGTATGTTAATTAACTACCAATAGACTGCTTGAAACTAGAATTGTTCAATAATTCAACATCCGATCACATAAAATATGTTGTGTTTATATTACTTCTACAAATTAAAATATGTAATAACAGATAACTAAAACATGTCAAATCATATTTTTTGCCAAGATTGACAATCTGAGTAACGTTATTTTGTATTCTACGTAATGACGCAGTGTCACGTTATTACGCAATGACATCACAACGCCATTTAGCAACTTTTAACAAAAAAATTGCCCGTCTTGAGCAACTTCCCTAATGAACGCGTTGGCCTCACTAGTAGCGTCTCTCTTGTGCCGCTCTGTGCGTCGACTGCGCTCGGCACCCACAGCCGGTGATCTGCGGCCTTCGGCTCGGTCTCCACGGAGCAGAAAGAGGAACTCTGTTAAGCTATAAGTGAGCTCGTGGTGAGCTTTGTCACTGCTGCATCTGCAAACTTTACATTTAAAATAAATAAAACTAGCAAAAATACAAACACAGAACTTTGTTGTCGGGAGGAAGCGCAAAGACGTCAGACACGATGGGCGCGATCCGACATTCAACAAGAGACTCAACAACCAGGAAGAGAATAAAAATGACCACAAATACAAAAAAAAAATCCTCCAAAAAGGAGAACAAACGTCTTCAGAGACTCGGAGTGAATAACAGCCTCTAAATGTGGTCTAATGCAAAGAAACGCTGCTGAACGATTAGAGGAAGTTCAACAGAGACAAATTATTCAGAGCATTTCTTCTTTGTTAATGTTCATTTAGTCATTATTTGTGTGTGATGACATCAGACCTGTGTGTGAAGTAACAACACAGCTCCCTGTGTGTGTGTGAGGTGTGTAACGGCCTCACAATATAAATGTAGAAGTACAGTACCTTGTACAGAGAGAAGGAAGACGACTAATCCACCGGCTGATGGACTCATAGCTGCTCCTCTGTGTTCAATCAGCAGATCAGAAACTCTTTATTCAGTAAGTCACCAGAAACACGTCTACGTTAAAGAGGAGGCGGATGTCTCTGAGGTCAGCTCGTCTCTTCTGGAGTTGGTAACAAGCTGCTGTTCAACACCCAGCAGAGCTTCCTTCCTCTTTCCGTCATTAGTATGCATGAGCTGCAGAACAAGAAGCTGCTTTAATGTTAACGTCTTACTTCTGCTAAAAGGAAACATCATAAAAGTGTTGTTAATATGTGAAGATCATCTTGATGAACCTGTAAGCAGCATAAACGTCTCTTCATTCTCTGTAATAATTCACATTAAGTGAAAGGCTGCAGTGTGACGTCCTCCTGTTAACATGTAGATAAATATGTCCTCTCTGCAGCTCTTCATACGTCTTCCTCACATTCACTGCAGGACACAAACAACACAAACAAGCTGTCAACACACACAAATGTTGCTTTATTCATTTAATATTCATACATTTCCATTACAATATGAAAGTGTCTGTTGAGGACAGTGTGTAGTGTTTAGTGACATCTAGTGGTGAGGTTGCAGCCTGCAGCCTCCTGCTCCTCCCTTTAAGTCCTTCAGGTAACGTGGAGATGAACAAAGGCTCCGGGTGGAAATATGAAGCGCTCCTTTAAACAAACAGATGTCTTCGTGATGAAAACATGGTTATGAACATCATATTTCAGTTAGAGGATCCATTAAAGTCCTTCACTGGACCTGTGGAGCAGTTTAACAGATGAAGGTTGTCACTGAGCAGGAGGAAGTTCTCCCACAGATCAGGGACCTCCACGCAGAACCCGGGACTTCTTCAGGATCCAGATGGAGGGAAGCTCCCGCTCGAGGACCTTCTTGCACCAGCGTCTGGACCTGCAGAACCAGAGGAGAAGATCCAGCTTCACACTCAGAGACCCAACAGGAGAACACAATGCAAACACAACACTTGTTGTTATACTGTGTTTTTAAATCACTGATCACGGCGATGGAAGTCGCTCTGAAGACCTTAAATGTTAACAACACCTCATAGTGTAAATCAAGGGTGTCAAACTCATTATAGGTTTGGGCCAGACCATTAAAATCATGAGTGGGGGGCGGACGGTCCGGCCGACAGGGGGACACAGTCATTTTCAAGGGTCTGCGGCCTGGAGTGACGCCCTCGTCGAAAAGGAGAAAGTTCATTAATTAATATAAATGACTTATCCTGGTCCGGCGGAATGTGGCAGCACCAGTAGTTGACTACACGCATCCCGTTGCTCTTGGCTCTGATATCTAATTTACACGCATTGTTGTCTTCCGTGAACGCAGAGTTCAGGGAGACGCAGAATCAACGTGTTCACGTCTACGTGGATTTAAACCATATAGTTAATTATATTTAACTGTGTCCATGTTTATTTATCTGGTATTACAATATATTCAATGTTGTTATTTCATAGGATTTTCAGGGTTCATTTGCAACCATTGTTGTATTCATCTCGTTTTATTTATTTCATTTAAAAACCAAACAACGTTACTTACCACTGATTGTGTCCATGTTAGTTCCACTTTAAAGCCATATTTTACGGCAGCTTCTCAATTCTTTGCTCAATTCAGACGTTCTATTTCCAAGAGAAAACCCTTTTAAAACATTCAACATTCAAGATGGACTCAAATGCCTGATTGGTGTTACCAGAAGACATCAGCACATGTTATATTCATGACACGGGCGTGTGGCGGTGCCAAATGCAGCACAACGGCACGGAG